CAAACTGGAATACAGAAGACTCCATCTGAACACCAGGAAGCACTTCTGTGCTGTGCAGGTGACGGAGCACTTGGAGAGGCTTTGGAGTCTCCTCCCTGGAAATCTTCAGAAGCTGTCTGGACATGGGCCTGGGCAGCCTGCTCTGGGTGACCTGCTTGAGCAGGAGTTGGACCAGATGGACCCAGAAGCCCCTACCAACCTCAAACATTCAGTGGTTCTGTTATTTTAGTAGAATCATAGAATGGTCTGGATTAGGGTTGGAAAGGACATTAAAGATCATCCAGTTGCACTTCACAGCAGGGGGGTTGGGCTACCCAGGGTCCCACCCAACTTGTCCTTGAACACTTCTAGGGATGGGGCATCCACAGCTTTTCTGGTCAGCCTGTGCCAGCATCTTGCCATCCTTGCAGTAACAGTATTATTCCCTATATCCAATCTAAATCTACCCTTTCATTTTAAAACCATTGTCCCTTGTCCTGTCATTACTGGCCCTGGTAAAACAATCAATCAAATGAAAAACAACACCCTTTCTTCACCTTTCTTGTAGGCCCCTCCAAATACTGGAAGGCCACAATCAGGTCTCCATAGACCCTTCTCTTCTCCAGACTGAACAAGCCCAACTCTCTCAGCCTTTGTAAGAGAAATGCTCCAGTCCCTAACTACACTCATGATCCTTCTCTGGGTTTGCCTTAATAGATGTGTGTCTCTTTTGTTCTGCATCCTGGAGTTGGATGGGCCAATCCTTGTAGGTTCAGTCACTACGTGGGAACAAGTGAGAAACAGAGGGTTTAAACACATTAATTTCCTTTCATAATTTTGGCTGCTGCCAAGTAATATTTTTGTACTGATTCTCATGCGTTCACCAGTGAAAGGGGCTGGGTTCTGCAGCTCATTCCCCTTTTTCAGGTTTTCAAATATCAATTCATAACCTTAAAGAAAAAGATAGAGATGCAAAATGAATGTACCTGTGCTTGCACATATGTCCCACATTATGTCAATATTATAATATTATATCCTTTGTTTTTCTACAACAAAATACCCTGTTCTAGGAAGTTTTATCTCAAAAAGATATATTCTAAAACAACATGCTAGAAGATCTTGTTATGTGTTCTGTTTGCACACACATATACTTTGTTTAATAATTATTAATTCAGAACATAGTTCAGGTTGGTGAAATGCTTTTTTCCTGAAGTCGACCATCTACTTTCATGGACACTTTTTTTTTTTTTTTTTAATGACAGTTTTAAAGTTAGCCTTTAGTGAGTTTAAGTAAAATATTTTATAGTCAGTTTTATTTGAAAATCAATTTTGACTTGACTGACTTAAACTAAAGTTTGTGGCAGGTCAACAAAGCTAACTTTATTTACATATTTAATTATTTTGCTGGGAGAGCCAAGGAGGTTTTAGATATCTTGAGCAGCAATTGGACACTTAAATTCTACACAGATTCAAAATTGCCTGCTGATTCTTAGTGATGAGAAAACGTAAGGTCTAATTTCTCTTCTTTTTTTTCCCTGATACTCTGTTCCTGTGCTCATACTCCAACATTTAGGTCTTCATACATAGAAGCACTTGGTTTGCATATCTTTGTAGATTTTGGGCCCTGCTAAAAACATCAAGGCAGCTGTAGCCAAGCCACCAGGCCCATCATGCTGCCTGTGATAGTGGCCTGGAGAAGGGTTTGACACCCACTGCAAACGTTTTCCAGACCTTTGGGTTTGCAGCATGGAGGCTCTCTGATACTTTCTCACTTGTTTGTAAAATGCCTGGAGACCAGAGTTCAGATCTCACCCAGACCCAAGTCAGTGCTCTACGGACAAGGCTTACTCATTCAAAGTCAAATGGGTTTATAAAGGAGGGCAGAGGCTATCTTCACACTGCCTGAGCACTTGGCTCCAAGGTGAGAACTGTGGGTGTGAATCCCTGCAGGAATCCTGGACCTCCAGTGCTTTCAGCACAGATCTGCTGGAGTCAGTCACACCTTGGATCACCTCAGATATGGGTCCCAACTTGGGCCCAGATGAATTTCTTCATGATTGCCTAAAATGTGACCTGATTTTGAAAGCCTTTCCAAGGCTGTCAGTACAAGGCAAACAAAATCATGCCTTGCCCTTGATTCTGAGATGGTTGAATTGCAAGTCAGCTCCAGTGTGGGCCATTATCACAGTGCTAAATTTGATCTGGTAAGTCCTGCTGGGGTAAAGAGGATATTAGGTCATGCTCAGTCTGCTGACTTGGCTGCACAATTTCTGGTCAGCAGTGCGAGCAGCACAAGAGCAAGGCTGTCTAGCATAGCCTGAGATATCCAATTCTTCCCTCATACAACGTATGAAGCCTAAAGTGCATATCTCAGAGCTCTGTCCCCCACACATCTATGGGAAATGTGCAGATATAGTCACATGCATAGTGTGATGCATCACCACTGCCTCAGTAATCTGCAAAGCAGGTTCCTGTCAAAGCTAAAGTTCAGGGCCAAGAGCGTTGTTACTGTGGTTACTTACCGATGCATGCACCAGAGATCTATCTTTTTTTTCTTCCCTTTTTTCCTCCATAGTCGCCACATAATTTCCATCCAATCTTCTCAAGTCCTAATGCTCTATTCAAATACATGTTTCGTGCGCCTCTGGTTTCACCACAGTGAATTGTTGTGCGTGGCAGCGCTGCAGACTTGTGTAGTTGAATGTGTAGAGAAAAAGCTGTAAAGAGAATAGAAAAAGCATGAACAACGATGTCAGTTAGTAGAATTTAATTATAACTTAGAAGCAAAGCTAGTTGACTGAGCTTGTGTTAAAAGGGTTTGGAGAACCAGGTGATCTAATAGCTCTTTGATTTTTCAGGCAAGAAACTAGTAAAGGACGTGATTCTCTTCAGAGCATGTGCTCCTCCTCTTCACTTCAGCTAATTTTGTATCTCTGTGACTATTTCTATGTATTTTGCTTGTCTGAAATCTACTGACAACAGTAATTAGGTGAATACTACTTTTTTGTATTACAAAGAGCAGTACTGAATCAGAGAGAAGACACATCTTGCTAAGGTTCTGAGCTCCAAGAGTAAGTCAGAGACTTAAAGATTAGCTATTTATGTGCTATTTGGAGTTTTGAGTAACCTATTTTTCACTCAGAAGGGCAGTTAGGCCACCATTAGGTTGTTCTAGCTGACTCTAAACCCGTTTATCTACTTATTCAAGATACAAAATTATTGTATCTTAGAATGAGTGCAGCAGTCAAAACTGCAAGCTTTTGGTGTCTCTGCTCTGTTCGAATAATGGCACTGACATTTCAGACTAAATAATTCGACAGCTATAGGGGTTTGTTTTTCAGGTAAAGTGGCTTAACAAGACAGATGCAAAGGCACTTTGTAGCATGGATCAGAGAGTAATGCTTCCAGCACCAAGACCATCTGCTGGCTTTGTCACTGTAACACTGTCCAAGGAACAACTAGTATTACTACAGATACATAGTATGAAATAATCTTTCTTACTGTTTGAAGGAGATAAGGAGAAAGAGACAGAAGAAAACTATTATTTAGGCTTGCTTAATTTTTGAAGGTCCCCTCACCTCTTTGAGCTTCAGCCTTACCCCGACAAAGAACCTCCCATCACAACTGTGAGTCAGAAGTCCAGGTATATTTAACTAATCCTTGTCACGTCACCTGGAGCCAGTTACACAGAAAATACCAATTTTTTCTGTTGACCTGTAATGAAAACACACATGTTGCCTGTCTTGTTTCTCTTCCAGCATCCTAAATCTTGAAGACAGCAAAGCATGTTTCTGCTGCTTGCAAGAAGATAATTGTAATAAAAATAGCCCATGGATGCTGCCATTTCATATGAAGTTCTTTATAAATATTCATCTAAATGACCCATTTTGCCAATTAAGTAGTTGTCTGTATACAGAGACTGGTACTTCATGGTACGCAATGGGTGTTAGAGAAGGCTGCGGGGCGACCTCATTGCAGCCTATCAATACCTGAAGGGAACCTACACCCAGGAGGGGAGTAAACTCTTCAGAAGGGCTGACAACAGCAGGACTAGGGGAAATGGATCCAAGTTGAAGGAGGAAAGATTTAGGTTGGATGTTAGGGGGAAGTTCTTCACAAGGAGAGTAGTTAGGCCCTGGAACGGGCTGCCCAGGGAGGTTGTGGATGCCCCGTCCTTGGACGTGTTCAAGGCCAGGTTGGACGGGGTCCTGGGCAACCTGATCTGAATGTGGATGTTTGGTGGCCCTGCTAGGCAGGGGGGTTGGAACTACATGATCCTTGAGGTCCCTTCCAACCCAGGTGATTCTGTGATTCTGTGATTCTGTTAATATCCCCCCAGAAGTTAAGTACAAGGTGCTTTTATGGTCCACAGTGTTGAATGTGCTAGGAGCTTCATTCAGATACATAACTTGTCCTGCTCAGAATTCAGAGTAAGATCAAATGATAAAGTTCAACCTCAGTAAACACAGAAATGGCATTAAAAAGCTATGTTGTTCCTCCTTGTATCCATCATGCTGTGTTTTGTGGAAGACTGAACTGAAATTCAATTTACCTGTTGATGTTTACACCAGCAGCTGTTTTGAGAATTTCAGCATTCATTTCATCAAGCAAGTAAATATTTACTACTCTGTTCCTCCCAAAGCAGCAATGGTTATTAAATGATAACAAAAGAAGTTGTGGTGTTTGTGCAGAAATGAATAAATCTCCAATTTTTCTCCCAGGAGTCACCTGACTAGGCAGAAAAAGCGATCAAATGTGCATTTAAGCATATTTACACCGAAGTACATCCTTGAGAAGCCTACTCTATGGTAGTTAAGAATCACAGCTGTTGATTGCGGAGTCTATCTTGTTCTATTACGACTGCTATTTCTGTTGACAAAAAGGTGAGTGGAGGTTATAACTCTTAGTTTCCATTAGTACATGTAAAAGAGACCAATGTGAAGTCTTTTCTTCCTTTTGTTTATATTAGGGTTTGCTCACTTCCAATGAAGTGAGCAGAACAGAGCAGTACCAGAGCAGTACCAGAGAAGGTCCACAGAGAACAGCAACACTCAGCAGGTGCCAATAAGGACAGAATCAGAGAGCTAATTTAATCTGCTTCTCAGGTTGCTGAAGGTAGCAGCTGGAATTCCACTAATTATCTCCTTCCCATCTTAGCTTATAAAGTAAATGCACCTTATGGAATAAGTAGAAAGTATTCATTATTTCCAACAGATGAAAATTATGTTTTATCCTGAACAGCTGTTAGGAGACCTTGAATGTGCAAAGAAGTTTATATATGGGAGATGATAACATGGAGCATACTTACTTTCTTGTAGATACGTGTTGAGATAGAAACCTTAGTTTTAGGGGATTCCAATCCACTCTTCTTGTAAATACAATTTTATTTTGTTTTATTTTATTTTATTTTATTATTTTTTAAAATTACATTTAGTTACTGTAACCACCTTTGGTTTCAATCAGGTTGTTTCAAAGAGACTGCTACACGTAATTGATATTATTTCACGGTGGAATAGTCTGGGTCCTCCAGGAATGTAAAAGATGTAGAAACTCTCTGATAAAACATAATGCCAGTTCAAGCCAATATTTCTCTTCTTATGAGTGGTGAATATTGGAACACGACAAACACTACTGGCCTTATCTGGACCACCACATTGCAGATCTAAATCTGTGCCCTCCAGTTGTGTGTTAGGTATGCAGGAATGCAGAGCCTCTTAGCAATGGTTAACGTCCTCCCTTTGGGAAACAGCTCCCTCAAGAATTCTCTCAAAGCCTGGCACATACCTTCCTGGGCAGATCTTTTGTAGTCATGTCTGTTGATCTCTTGATACCAATCCATGGTTTTGGATTGTTTGTCCAACTGCTTCTGTGTTTGCATAATGTTTTCACCACTGCCCAGGATGGTTTGTACCTCTGTGAAAATGTGGGATAGTCCTCAGAATTGACTTAATATAACAGGCATTTCACGTTAACAGCCTTGTTGTAGTGTTGCACAATGGATACACAATGTAATTTATTTTTAGGTGATTCAAATGATATAATAATAGGCATCACTCTTGATTGTTATTATTATTTTTTTGTTTAATTTTTCCCACAGAAAGAGCGTATATAAAAAAAAAGTCTACTAAAACAAATAGAAAAAGGGGCCTAGTTCTCCAAATTATTCCCTTAAAGTATTCTGTTGCTACTTCCCATTCTGGCTGTAATCAGTTTTAGATGAAGCCAACAGCCACAGAAATATCACAAATTAATTTATTGATGACATTTTTTTTCACTGGCTGATGTTAATTGACTATCAAAATAATACATTTATGGAATCCTCAGAGGAAATGTATGTGTTTAATTTCAGTTTTCTTATTTCTCTTTGAAAATATGTGATATCTTACAGGATCAGCAGAACGTGGACTTCCTGAGATACTCTGTTCTCATACTTACTCTAGAGATAGTCACTGAAGGTGAAATAACTTCTAATGTGATGTACTCCATTACATCCTGGATATTGCTGCTGGTGAGTGGATGACTTACAGGATTATTAACAGAGTCAATCTACTGATGATCCATGCAGACATTTTTATTTGTTAACAAAATGCATTAACGGAAAGAACTATGAGCAAATTGGAGGAATTTGCCTAGTGGCTAACAGGACTTGAGTATACACCTCAAATTTTTAAAGTAGAAATAATGCAAAGAAAAAAAAAAAACACCAAGAGTACGATCATATTTGACTAAAAGCTATTTGCAGTTTATGATATTTCTCATCTGGGAAATGAAAGTCCTTGCAATCCACCATCCCCTCGTCTCTGAGAAGTGACCCAGGTAAATAGATACTTAAGGCCATATAAAACTTATCTTGGACTGCCAGGAGAGTTAGCAGATGATCATGATATTCATTCTGTGTTGTGCTCTCCTGAGGAATCTTCAAATATTTGAAGAGCAAAGCATGGGAATCACGATTTCCTCCCTTGCTGAAAGTAACTATTTCTTCCTGTAACAAAGAAAAGTCAATTCTCAAGCAGCACAAAAATGTACAGCAAGAACTAAGGAATCTTTATACAGTTGCAGTGATATCTTGAGAGTGTAACTATTTATATTGGAATTTGAAAAGGAGATTTCAATTACCAATCTTTCTTTATGAGAACTACAATGGCCACTTTTTAGCTGCTGTGTATGTATTTTGTGATTCTATGACAGTTTTTCGTCAATGGCAGCTGAACAGCATTTCCTAAGCCTGCAGATTTTTAATTCCAACTGGTTTTATTTTGACCAGTGTGGAATAATGTTACTTTCTGAATTATCCAAGTTATTTTTTCAGAAAGGTCTGCATAGTCTCTCAAAGTCTTTTTTTTTGTCTGACTACAGATCAGACCCAGTGTTACTCAGCTTATGAGATGCAATTATACTGGTATTGCTGGAAGACACTTTTTAATGAAACAAACAAACAAACAAACAAACATTATATGTTCTTTTTCCTAATGCATGCATATGGCTGGTTCTGCAACACTGCCATACTGCCTTTGCTAGGACAAAGTGACTCTTACCTCTCAACCTTGATGTACCTATTGTTTTTTTCCCTCATGCTTTCTTTGCCTGCAGCCTGATGCATGTACATCCATCCTGCTTGATTCCACCACACTTTTTCAAGCCAACAGCCTAATAATGAAGCTCTTCATGAGACTGTGAAGCCAGCACCAGCAACAATGAGTCTTCATTATTCCTGGAGAAGACTGGGGTGTTTGATATGCATGAAGCTTTGTGCAGATAGCTACGACTATAAACTGCCATTTGTTACTGTCAAACAAATAAGTGTTACAACTATTCAGAAGTGTTGCTCTTCTTGAGCAAGGGATTTATACTTGAAAAATAAAACAAAACTAATTAGTACCTTATCTTTTTTTTTCATCAAAATGAATGGATTTTGGCTGATGAACGGAAATCTTGTTCTCTGTTACTGCTTACTCAGTGTGGTTGGAAATGACAAAGAATCGGATTGATATAAGTAGTTGAGATACTTACCTTGACCCGAGATTTAGTCTGATGAACCTTTTAGCTATTTGCACATATCCCATTTGTAAAATACATAAACTTGTCACATAGCTATGTATTTGTAGATTTTTAAAAATTATATGTTGCAGAGATCCTAAAAACTGAAAATGCTGGTCGTATATTTGGCTTTTTGTTATGCAGGAGCTGCTGAATTTGACATCCGCTTTTCAGAGAACTGAGAGGAAAAAGAAAGCTTAATTAGAAGGTTACCCCTCCCGCTACCATCTCCAAACAAAACTGCTGAAGTTCTGTTGACAACAACCTGCGTTATCTACACTCACTGTAGCCAATAAGCTTCCTGTCTGCCCAGACTGAATACAGTGTGCCTCATCAAGAGATTTAGAATAGTCTCTTATACTCAAATATTTCTGTTTCATTTCTCAACTAAAATACTTATCTTCTATTTGATGAGAATTTCTTATTCCTTTAGTAAATCTTGGTGCTGATGGATCTCAAACTAGTCCCTAATTTATGTCCATAGGTATGAGGCGTCTATGACATCTTATTGAGGGAAGACATTTTGACATAATGGTTAGGAAACATCCCCAGATAATGGAATCTAGCTATTTAGAATAGTACCAATCAATTGGATTTGTTTGAGAACTACAAAATGTGTTTGATTTGTCTGGATAGTTCAGATTATCCTCACCAAACACACATCCCTCCCTTCTCCTCTTACCCTCTCCTCCCCACATAAGTAGAGTAATATAATATGGTAAAATTTCTGCAAAGGTGGCAGATTGGAGATTACTATTTTCCTTCTGGGCAGGCGTAACCTTGGTCTGAAGTAAAAGAAGTGAGGGAATGGGAATGGCATTGTTCTATGGTTAGAACTAGATGGTGCTAACAAGAATTTTAAAACCAGCTTAATGATTTTTACCTGTATATTATATTTCCACATGTGTACACAGGCTTATGCATGAGCACATGTGTGTGAGCATTTGCGTGTCCCCATACCTTTCTGACATTCATGAAGATTTAACTGCTAATTGTTCAGGCACAGATATCACAAAAGAGCAAAGACAGTTTGTAGGTGCTATGGTATCATTCATGTGCTTACTTCTACCCGCCTTGCGGCTGGCACAAGAACATCCGTAGAACACAAGAAAAAGAAATCAAAGCTAACTATTGCCATAGCTTCAGTATGTGGCTGAACATCTTCCTACAGCTTTTAAGAATCAAGCAACTGCTGAGCAAAGATAGTTACTATTACAGGGGATCTCACTGTCATAAAAATAAACGAACAACAACATGAAGGAAACTGAAATGTGTCCCTGAACTTGCACTGTACACCATATTCCTTTGTTTGGTATAATGGGACTTCTGTAATTTCTTACTAGAACATAAGAATTGCAAGTTGCAGTGAATATACATTTTTGTGGAGAGAGAGACTGATTCTCTCTTAATTTTAGTTGACACTGAGATGGACTTTTTTATTTCCTGATGCTCTCAACATTTACAGCATAGGGAGAAAAAAGTGTGTAGACCATTCTGGTTTTAGATAAATACCAGGATGTTTTGTGGATGTTTAATCATCTACAAAGAAATCAAGAGAAGCTTTCATCCGTCACTCTGGAACACACTGGAACAAAGCCATCAAGGCCCTAGGGCATGCCAAGAATCAGTAGTCTCACTTGTGCAGTAAGGCATTATCCTTGGTAGTATTGTAATGTATTAGTATTTGGTCTGTTTGCTGACTCCAGAATGTTGTCAGATATTTGCTTCCTGTCCACAATATGAGTATGGAAGCAGAAATAGTTGCAATAACTCACATAAATTGCTCAAGATTAATTCCTCAGAGTTCTTATTCCAAGAGGAGAGCATCCTTAAGAATGAAAACTGAAGGAAGAGGATTAGTTATCCCAAGAGGACTAGTTCATAATGAAGAAAAATCCTGAACAGTTGGTGAGAGGGCAGATTTACTGATAGAGAGAGCTAAAGGATTTGAACAAACTGCTTATTAACACTGTATGGCTCAGCATATATGTCATCAGGAAAAGAGCTAGCCAAACTTTTGGCTTTACGGGAACTTCAAACTTAACCCCCTTATTAGCATTAGCCATTACAATATGCATTCTCATCTTACCATGTGGTTGGTACTCTGTGCATCTCTACAGTCTTTCCCACCATGTAGACCATGATAGACTTCCATTCTTAAGGGGTATGCCATTGCACGGCCTCCCCTTTCACTGTTGCAGCTACACCTATCCCTGCTGAGGATGCAGGTCAACAGAGGATGTTTGAAGTACTGCGATAACCAAACGTACATTGTTACTGAGGAGAATAACTGCTATATCTTTCTGATATATATTCTGATGTTGGCATTGGTCTCTCTAGCAGGAACATGATAGATGTGTACATACTTCTTTTACTTTGTCTCTATAGTAACAGACTGCCAAAAGGGATCTTGTGTTTGGGAGCTCAGCCATGAACATAGGAAAAATGGAGGACTATACCCCACCAGCAGGAAAGGAAAGTCTAAGAATAAACTATCTAAGCAAAGAGTTATGGGTGAAAGACTGGAAATGACATATATAAGCCAAGATACTTGAGAAGAAGGTATTCTAGTTCTCATTTGTTGGACAAAATGCGAGTTGAAATTTCTGGCCTCATTTCCTGGAGGAAGGGAATAGGCATTTTCAACAAATCTCAACATTTGTTTTTATTGCTAATTCTTTGACACAGGTGCCTAATATTGCTTTGTGAGTAAACACCACATTTTTCTCCTTTCTTCCCTCTTTATCTTCTACTCTGTCCATTCAATGCATGGTAGAGCAAGCATAGGTTTGAACTAATTGGTTTGTTCTTGAGTTTTTGTGCTAATTTTTTTTTCAAGCCACAACAAGTTCAAACACCTCTGCTCACTTTCAGCTTCCTCAGTGATTCAGCCTCATACGCTCCCTTTCATTTGCTATGCCATGCTATCATCGCCTCCCCACTTAGTAATTGGGTTGTTGAGCTACATATATATCTTGCAGTTTCTAGGCTGGGATGGAATTCCAACTGCATTTCAGGTGAGAGCCAAATGTGCAACAGCTTTGCATGTGCCTTCAAAGCTCAATTCCTCTCATGAGGAATTTGAGAAAACAACAGTAGAGTATGTAGCGTATCAAGTGTTTTGAATTGAAAGGCTGAACCAGAAAAAAAATATGTTGAAGAACAGAGGCTTTGCAGGTCTTCTGTAGGCCACAAATTTATTTCCTGCTTGCAGAAGTGCAGAGGCTGTCCTACCTATTGTGCAGATGCATGGAAAACACTTGTTGTGTGTGCACGTGTCATGTGTGCACATATTAACGATGAAGTAGGTTTGCCTACTTAGTAGTATGGCAAGTATCAGTCTCTTCAATTTATTTTATGCAAAAGTGACAATTTGAAGTGTTTTAAGACTAGGTGCTTGTTGGCATTTCTTTTTGCCAACATATAATAACTGTTTAGAAAGCCATCCTTGTATTTCACAAATGTCTGTTGAATTGGGGCAGTGTATTAACTCTGAATAATAAAATTAAAAAAAAAAAAACAAAAACCTCTTGAAAACGTTCCTTTGAAGCTGAAATAAAAACGTGGTTACACCCAGAGATTAATTATGAATAATTGGATACAAATGCATTGGCAATGTGCACAGACTTTAATCCATTCAGTTGAGGAGGGAAGCACAGATGATTCGAGGAGGAATATTTTTCCATCTTAAAACGATCAAAGAATTTTTGTGCACTTGCAGAAAGTAGTGGAGACAGATGACAGTTAGTGAGTGGGAAAAAAGGTGACAGTTCAAAATAAATAGTTGATATCAGATGAAACATGGAATGAACACGCTCACAAAGACAAACAAACAAATAAACAACACCCCCCAAAATGCAGGAATTGGCACTGGAGATTCTGCAAAAGTTAAAAAATCTGTTAACGTGCAGAAGTCTGCACATTAAACTCTCATTTTCCTCAAAATTTACTGTCTCAGTCTGTGGGAATCTAGTTGTTTTCAGTTTTCAGCAGTTACAAAAATAGCACAGTGTAAAAAAAATGCAGACAATAAAATGCTAACAGTGACCAAGGCCTGTTCACCAAATGAGAATGCCAATGCTTGAGTTGGACTTTGTGTGTTTTCTTTTGGCTGTAAACTTTATGATTCATTTCACAGTTTCTCCCCACCCTTTCTGAAACTCCTGCACCAATGAGCAAGAGGATCAGTCCTGGAAGAGAGGAATGAAGCAGTGCGTTCAGCAGTGTGCGTGTATTTGTTAGGGAAGGAAATACTAACAATGAGTAATGTTTGCTGCCCTCCCACCCCCCCATCCCCACCCCAGTGACTTTGGTAAGTTTAAGGTAAATCTGGAGACAGTTTTTCTGCCAGTGTTCCATTTGTCACACAGCGGGGATGGCCCCTTCTTGCCATCCTATTGATGGAACAGTCCCGCACTTCAGCTCCTGTGGTGGGGCGCATGGTATCCTGAGCCCACAGAGTGGTGCTGCTCCTGAAGAGTAAACTCCCAACAACACTATAACTGGCATCTGTCCCTCCACAGGTCCCTGGCTCTTGCTTATACGTCTCTTAGTGTCGGGAAACTTCCCCCTCCAGTCACTGTCTCCATTATAGAAAAGAACAAACATTCCCTCTTCAGGGCTTGTTCTCTCTCAGTCTTCACTGGTGACCTCCATTTTCATTTTTGCTGACATCTCCCTGAGCTAGGAATCAACCATCAGAAGAGTTATATTTGAAATTTGCTAGCAGTTGTCCTTCTTTCTATTATTATAATATTTTCTCAGGCCCAGGTTTCATTACAGGTGATTATGCAAGAAT